GTGGGATTTTGTTCTCTCAGAGCGGGCATTTTTAGCCAATCAAACCTTATAAACAGCTCGATAGAGAACTCTATTTTTAGTTTCAGTCTAAAAAATGCCCGCTCTTGAGAGAACCCGCTCTTCAGAGGTACCGCTCTTGGGAGGTTTTACTGTATCTTCTTTTCAAAAAACTTTAAAGGACTTTGAATAATGTCATTTTGAAATACAAAAAAGTCGTTTTAAAAAGTCAAAAACTTTTTGATGTTTTTTGTTTTTAATGTCAATAAAGACTTTAGAATTTCGTTTTTAATGAATTGTTCGGAATTAATCCTTCTTTATTAATATAATATAATTTTAAATTTATTTGATAATAATATAGAATTGTCCATATTATCACACAATTGTATTATATATTATAATAAAATAAATATAAACAATAATATGGTAGTAATAATAGAAAGATCAATGATATTACAATAACAATCGACCAACATCAAAAATTATAACAAAAAGGTGACACAATTACGCTCCAAACCAACAGTAGAAATGAATAGAGAATTACAATTGTTTTTATGTGTGATAACTTTTTTAGTTAATCCAAGTTTTTGATAGACATTCCTCTTTTTGCGAATTTAGCTGATTTAAGTAAATTTTTAATTTTTTGAACATCGTCTTCAGTTGGCTCAATTAGCACTTGGTTCTTTTTCAAAAAGAATTTCTGAGCGTGCGACCTTACTTGTGCTGTTGTTCTCGTTTTAACAAAAGCAGCAATCAAACAGTTGTTCATACCTTTAGGAGAAGTGTAATTGAAGAATTTGACTATTTTCTCGAATGCTATCTTTTCTTTTTCGGTCCAGTAGCGCTTCTTATCGTTTTTATCAAACCTTATTTCAGAAGAATCACTGATCTGGTTTTTGGTGGTATCAAAAGAAGTCTCAACAAGTTCGGGAGACTTGGGTACAACTTGACAAACTTGGTCGTAGGATTTCTGCTTGCACTCGAAACGCAAAAGACGAGACTTTTGATCCAAATAGATACGAGTAACCTTTTCATAAAATCCTGGATGTGTTGGGAGAGGAAGGTTGTAGTATCTCAACGCAACGGACATGTGATAATAGAGATGATAAATTGTTTTTATAGGCGGTCACGATTTTCAAATAGAAAGTTGATTGAAAACAAATTGTTTGAAATATAAATAAGAATTAATCTTCACATAAATAACAACATCAAAACCCCAAAAATTGGACTCTGTTTTACTCTTTTAATATTATTTAAGTGGACACTCTCTCTGTTTTGGTAAATCCTCATTTAATAAAATAAAAGTATTTGTTTGGACAAAAGAAGTAACCAAAACTACTTTTTTCTGTGTTTTATTTTTTTTACCTTTGTGTAATATACAGATAACGTGTGTTCTAAATTTAAAATACTTCAGAACCTAATGTGTCCTAAATAATTGGAACGGAAGGATTCATTTCGAAAAAGTATTTTTAAAAATAATTTATTCTTTTTGTAAATAAAATGAACTATTTTTGGACTATTTCTACCGCAAAGTTATCAAACCTTCCGTATCAAATTCTGTTTTGTCAAAGAAATTTTGGTTTTATTGGTAATTGGTTTATGAAAAGTGAAATTTCTTCACTGAGAATAATAATTACATTTTGTGTTGGGGTTTTTAGCATATTTTTGTCCCAATTTCCCTTTAGTTTTACTAAAAGATGGTGTTACTTGATTTTTTCCTATTTACACCATTATTACATACTAACAACTCCTTATTTTTTGGGTCCTCAATCATTCGTGCTTGGAAGACAACTTTTTGATTGTCTTTGAATATGTCGTTGAACATTTGTTCAGCATTATTAAATGATAAAATAAAAAACATTGTTATTAATGAACATAGACTTTAATTACAATAAATTTCAATTTAGAACAATTGAATAATTAAAAAAGTGTCAATGGACTTCAAAACTAAAACGTTAATATATTATTGGAAAGATTAATGTTCAGTCGGAGAACACTTCAAATTATCGTTTTATCATATGAATAAAACAACACATTTCCTTTTGTTTAACTTAAACATTTAAACAAAAAAAAATGTGAAGTGCAGAAAACAACAAAAATGATATTTATGTAATTTTTTCAATTTATAATTTACCATGAAAAGAATAACTTACAAAAAGTGAAAGGGTATTATTATTAAAAATTACAATATTGTCTTTTGTTTTAAATTAATAATTCAAACGAATTAACAATTAATAATGTAACACCAGTTGTTATATTATTAAATATTGTATATTTTACCATTATTTTATTTTACTTCATTCTAATTCTAATTTTAATTAAATATTTTAATAAAATATTAAACAAATCAAAATGAAAAATATAACCTATAATTTAATTTAATAAATTTTAGTTAAATTATACTAGTTGTTATCATAAATACAATTAATAATTAACGTAGATTTTGGTTATCAAAACTTTTCCGTTTTCTTGAAAAGTTGAATTATATTTTTTTGAAAAATTCACTTATTAAAAATGTATATTTATATAAAACAAATTACATCTTATTATTTTTTATATTAAATCTTCAATTCATTAATTTGTGATTCAATTGAATTAATGAAACACCACTGTTAGAATTATCAACAACCTTTGGTAAATGTTTTCGTTTTCTTATTTTTATACCAACAAATTTTAACTAAAAACTACACCATTTGAATAAACAATTTTTTTTAATTTTTATACCTTTTTAAATTCTCGATCATTTTTCATTGTAAGGATGATCAGGAATTCACGTTTTCACTTACTTATTAGGTTCTTTGTTTTATAATTTAAAAACAAAGACAAATTCCACACATTTTATTCATTAAATGTTTTTGAATCTTTTCTGTTTGAATAAACACCATTTTATATAAATTCCAAT